ATATATATATATATATATGACACTGGAATAGTCACATGTGTGATAAATATCCTGGTAAGGCTCCCAGGAGACCCAGGAAGAAAAGGCAGGCACATATGCAAGCCACACACCTGGCATCAGGTTGACATTCCGAACCCGAATGTGTTGAGAAAGATTACCTGAGAATGAGATACTGTCTTAATGGGCGAGAGAAACTTGGACCTAGGTTGAGAATCACATTCCTGACACGGCTGGGAACCCCTGATCTTTCCCAGATGTAGTTCAGTCGATGTCAGGAGACACGCAGCCTGGGTGTGGGGAGGGGATGGACAGAATGGGCTCTAGTGAACACTGCTGTGGGTCTTGGAGCTGTTGAAAGGGTCCTCTAACCTCTAGGTCTGTCTGAATTGATGCATTTTTCTTAATTTGGGGATGCTAAAGGTCGCCTGAGGTAAGGTATGCTGAAGCTTTTGGTGTCGAAAAGTGGTCCACCAATTCTGATGGGTTTAGATTTGCTTAAGTAGAATGGGTAACATGTGGGCATGTCAGAGGGGCTTTCCGGGAGAAAAGACTGTGTGTAAACAAGCCATAAGGGTCTCTGGAAGGTAAGAAGTGAGGAATTAGAAAGTTTGGACTGAAAGGAAGATGTCCGCAGCCTCTGTGTTCTTCAAGGGAAGGGTGTGGGGTGTCTGTAGGGGGTAGGGATAGGAGCAGGCTCCTGCATCTTTGGGAAGTGATCCCTTCTAAGGCGATCAGAATTTCCTTCCATAAGACCACACAGATTCAAGGAAGGGCCTGAATAACTGAGCTCCCAGCATCCCCTAATCAAGCTTTGTCAGGGTTTATCATGTACGCACGTCACCTGGAGATCTTGCTAAAATGAAGACTCTGATCCAGTGGGTCTGGGGCCTAAGATCCAGCATTTCTAACATGCCACCATGTGATGCCCAGGCTCTTGACCAGCGTAGGCACGACTCCTGTTCTTGGTGATCATGACACTAGCAAGTGTGTGCCAGTGGAGTTTGTAGGTGTATTCTGAATGTTAGAACATGCCTGCTCACTTCTGCATCCCTCTGATTTTCTCCACAGCTAACATTTCTCTAGACCCCCAGACTTCCCATCCTAAGCTCCTCTTGTCTGAGGACCACCAGCGGGCACAGTTCTCCTACAAGTGGCAGAACTCACCAGACAGCCCCCAGCGTTTTGACCGGGCCACCTGCGTTCTGGCCCAAGGAGGTTTCGCATCAGGGAGACACACGTGGGTGGTGACTGTTGACTTGACCCATGGGGGCAGCTGCACGGTGGGTGTGGTGAGCGAGGACGTGCAGCGGAAGGGAGAGCTGCGAATGCGGCCAGAAGAGGGGGTGTGGGCGGTGAGGCTGGCATGGGGCTTTGTCTCCGCTCTGAGTTCCTTCCCCACGCGGCTGGCCCTGGAGGAGCAGCCCCGGCAGGTCCGGGTTTCTCTGGACTATGAGGTGGGCTGGGTGAGCTTCACCAATGCTGCCACTGATACGCCCATCTACACCTTCACAGCCTCCTTCACAAAGAAGCTCTGTCCTTTCTTTGGGCTCTGGGGCCGAGGATCCAACTTCTCCCTGAGCTCCTGAGAGGCTGCTGTGAGCTTGCTCTAAGTCCAAGACTTAAAGAGAGTTCTGTTTGAACTTGACCCTTGACTGGGTCCCCTGGAAGATGTGAGATAGATCATAATCTTGTGAAATGGTAAAATGGAACAAAGTGACATAATCTTCAAGCCGATGTTGAAACCCTTCTCCCAATGGCTACGGAATGGTCAGGGGGAGCAGGCCACTGCCCGTTCTCCTCGCCATCTGTCCCAGACACAGGAGTAGCTGTGTGGAGGGAAAACGTGCTGGATGTGAAGCCAGAAGACCTGGGTTCAAGATCAAGCCTTGTGATCGATCTGTTGCGTAATCTTAAACAAGGACCCTCCCTCTCTTCACCTCGGTGTCTTCCAGTGTCTTGGGGTTCATCTTCTCAAACGCTCAGGAAACATGTACATGTTCCAATTATGGACCAAGCGACTTCATAGCCACCGGCGATACATAAGATAAAGCAAGCCTCTGAAGGAGTTCACGGGAAGAGATCATGGGTCATTTCCATGGTATTCAAGAGAAGAGAGCTCCTTGATCTCATGACGTGTCGCTACTTGACAGCCCTCTTGATATTGCTGCCCCCCTCCTCCTAGAGGGTTCATGATGGAGGGTCTTGTGGGGAGGAGGGCAAGAAGCGACATGACCATAAACGATGACCCTTCTTCAGAGAGAAAGAACTATGTGACCCTTCTCCAGGGAGAAAGAGAGGATGTTCCCAGAATCCTCATGAGAAGGTCATGCCCACTAGGAGGCATCATCAGGCTGTGACCTGATTGACAGGATAAACTCCACCCCTTCACCCGATCTTCAGAAGGGCTGGTTTTCACTTACCTACCTCCGCCACCTACCTCTGTGTGGGATCACATGCACACTCCCCAGGATAGTCCTCCTCTTTATCTGTTGATAAGCATCCCTCATCAAGGAGGGAGATGGTGGAAAGGATTGAGCCATAGAGAGATGAGTCCTGAAAGCAGACATGGCACCCTCTGACATGTCCCGGGGAAGAGATTTGCAGGTGGGGAGCTGCAGGGTTAGTTGGATGACCCGTGGCTCTTAGTTCCAGGAACTGCATCAGGAATGGCATCTGGGACCCCTGTTTCATACCCTATATAAACCGAAATTCACAGCAGAGCTGGAATTTAACTGAAAAGTGGCTTGCATTTTTGTTTATTCTTATTGATTTTAGCTGCGTCTGTAAAAGTGACGCATGGGTGCTCAGGAAAATGCATCTGAAGCCCCTCTGCTGAGGGCCTTTGAGGGTCCCCTCTGATCAAGGAGCTAGCTGGTTCTCATATATGCAGATATAAAGCCCAGAATGCATGATCATCAAGATCATCATGGCTGCGATCATTTGTTTTGGTAGCTAGCATGGTTTGTGTACACATTGCATGTCAAGTTAAGCCTTCCCCATGCCAGTGTCATCAAACCTTGGTAACTCAATGAAAGAGATGAGCGTCCTGGTTCTTAAAGGAGACAAAGCTGAGGAGCAGTGAGTCTGTAAGTTGCTAATCCAAGGATTTTGATCCAAGGCCACTGGAGAGACCTTGACCTCCATCTTGTTGGGAGGCCGGCCACACTCCCTAGGGGTGACTCGGAAGCAGTACGACAATGTATAGTTTTGTTATTGTTGTTCTTTTGTAATTATATATTGTGAACTATTTATTTCTAATTACCAATAAATGAAATTTTGTCTTGAGGCATGGTGTAGCATGGGTAACAGGTTTTTTTTTATGGCAGTGGGCTTTATTTTTGGTTTTTTTTCCACTGGGCAGACCAAGCATTTCATTTTCTCAAATGAAATCACTTCTTTCCCTGTAACCACTAGCATGCTTGTTAGTAGAGAATCTCTTACATATTTTTTAACGGCTTGTTTTATCCATTGTTATTACAGAGCGAGCATAGTATCTCTCACACAATGTAGTTGCAATAGGTTAGCAAAGAGATTTTAGTCCTACAATGTGGACAAGATACTCTTTTTCTCCCAACTGGCCCTGCTAGTTCTTGTCTATCGGGTAACAGTCTTAATATAACAACAGTCAACGGGGTTTGGGGGGATTGCTACATTTTGCCACAGTATGCGTAAAAAGCCAACGTCTATGCGAAGGTTGAGATAGCTTCTTTCTTACCAGATCAGCATATTTGCATGTGGGGAGACCAATTTATAGTTTTTACACTGAGAAATAAAACAGTAGTGAGTGAACATATCCATTCTAGTACCTACTCCTCCCCTAGAGCAGTTCTTGGTGTTTGCTTGCTCCTGAAGTGTAGAGCTGGAGTAGAAGTGGATGGATCCTAAAACACAGTGATTTACAAGTAAGGCAACTCCACCGACCTACCCGCTCTGCTGCTGTAGAGCCAGGATTTGGGTTTCAATGATTGGGGCCCTGCTGCTCCCAAGTCCTTTCCCAAGACTCCAAAGAAGTGCTGGTCTTTCACTGTAACATCCACAAGTGTCATCCAAGTTTTGTACCACCTCCATGACAAAGAACCTAGATCTACCCACATTCATTCAAGTCCGGAGAAAGTTTAAGAACAGGTGTGGAAATAATGAAAAGAGAATTTTTTTCACCATGTAGCTGGGCCCTCGTGGGAAGAAGCGTTTAGAGCAGCGGTGAGGCAGTGGTAGAATTCTTGCCTACCCTTTGGGAAACCAGAGTTCAGTTCCCGGCCAATGCACCTCCTGTGGAACCACCAGTCATCGTCTGGTTCTGTGATGCTGAATAAGCTTCAGGGGCACTTCCAGACTAAGAGGAGCTAGTGAGAAAGACCTGGTGATTGACGTCTGAAAATTAGCCAGTGAAAATCACCAGTGTGTATCACAGGCATAATCTACAACCAATTACCAGCCCGTATTTGCATTGTGCTTGGGGTCCCCATGATATGGAGGTGAACTTGATGGCAACTAACAACATGGGAAGCTGTGTGTGTGTGTGTCAGTGTGTGTTCACATGTATATATGTGTGCATGTGTGGGCATGTGCATGTGTGTGTGTGCATATATGTCACATAACCAAGATGTACAAGAAGGACTAGAGACTCATCAAATGCTAACAATAACAGCAAACATATATACATCTCACATTGGCCTGCAATAAATGTTTTACATGTTTATTTAATGCTCACAATGTTGCTGTAAGGTAGATATGGTCATTAATATCTTGTTTAATACATGCAGGAACTGAAACATGTGGAGATTGAGAAACTGACCCCAAATCAACACATGATATACAGCAGAGCAAGAGTTTTAATTCCGGTTGTTTGGCTCCTGTGGTAGTTGCATAATTTCATGTCAACTTGATAAATACAGTGAAGGGATGGAGTTTATCCTGTCAATCAGGTCACAGCCTGATGATGTCTCCTAGTGGGAATGACCTCCTCATGAGGATTCTGGGAACTTCCTCTCTTTCTCCCTGGAGAAGGGCCACATTCTCTCTCTGTGTCACCTTCTTATTGAGGAGCCACATGGAGACCCATGTCAGCTCTGAGATGCTTCCATCACCACTGGATCCACAAGACTTTTCATCCACTGGTCTGTGATCTTCTTGCATTCTGCATCATTGCATGTGCTGCGTGAGTCTAAACAGGAATTTATGGACTAGTATCAGACATATGAGCTAATATAAGATTTATGGACTTGATTTGGACTGGGCCAGGATGTTTTCTCAATATGCAATTTCTCTTGTCTCTAAAGCACTCTCTTACACACACATGAATGTGTCTGGCTTTGTTTCTCTCATCAACCTGGCCTAACACAATTCCTGTGTCTGAGTCCATGACCTGATATTAAGTAAGACTGCCACTGTGAGCTCAAGAACTGGTAGAAATAGGAACCAAGGTCTAAGGAGACTCCAGGGATGGACATGCTCAGCAACGCGGCTCTGGGTTCTCACTCCCTCTGCTTCTGCTCTCCCTACCTACTAGTGATCTATTCACTCTTACACCATGTTGAATTTCCAAGCGAATCTGATAGGATCTTTCTTGGTAAGCCATTGCCTCTGCTCCCCAGTCTGTTGTTGGGTTGCCCTGGACAGGGTGCACGTCCATGGCTATTTCAGAAGAGGCAGACCCTTGAAATGTAACTGACTTCTCTAGGAGGAAGAGACCCTCTGAGCTCATCATTCTCCCACTCCTGATAGAATCCTTCTGGATAAGTCCTCTCTCTGACATCAGCCCCATCAATGCATGGGGATTGTTAGCTGCCACCTTCAGGGTGGTCACTCCTGGCTGGCTAGGGTTCAATTCCCAGCCAGTGCACCTCGTGTGAACCACCAGTCATAGTCTGGTTCTGTGATGCTGAACCCATTTCAGTGGAGCCTCCAGACTAAGATGGGCTAGTCTGTCTTATTCTTAGATTTGGGGTCTCATGACCTGTAGCTTCTTGCCTACCAATTACGTGTTTCATTTTTTTAAGATCTGCACTCTTCCTCCCCCTATGTTCCGTTCCTTCTAGTCCCCCAATATGTCCCTCTAGTTCATTCTGCCCAAGAGGTAAGGCTGGCTTTCCTCAAGCACCACGTGTCCCTTCACTCCGTACTCAAAACCTTGATGGGCCTTCATGTCCTGCCATCATCCATCTCCCCTCCTGTTTGCCTTCCAGTCGTCCCTGTTTCTGAACATTCCAGATGAACCAGCTCAACTGCAAACACGCCTACGAACCTGTTGTGACTCATTCCTACCTCCATGCTTTCCTGTGTGCAGTAGGTATGACTTAGAATCGCTCATTTTTTTCTTCCACCCATCAAATTTTTCCTCCCTTACAAAGCTCTCCCTGGCTTCCCCAGCTTCACTGTGTCTCTCCTGTGAGTTCCCACCGCACTCGAGCACTACAAAACGTACTTCAACCCACCCGCACTCATTGTTCCGGGGGTGTTTGTTCTGACTTTGCAGCTGGATTGTGAATTCCGGCTGAGAAAATGGGATACACACCCACTGCTCTCAAGTCAACCTTCACCGATGATGACCTTGGGGAGAGAGGACAGGATGGAATTGCTCCACAAGGGTTTTGAGGCTGTAAATTCTTAGGGAAGCAGTCTGACTCATTTTTTTCTCCTGCAGACCAATTGCTGGGTTTGAACTTCTGAAATTCAGTTTAACAGCCCAATGCCTAACTGGCTAGGCCACCAGGGTTCCTTGAGGAATTGGAATCAGAAGATGGAACTGCCTGTTTAAATGCTTACAATCTGTTAAATCCTTCAGCAGACACTTAGCATATATAAGAACATGTAAAATGTGGTGAAGAAAGCTGAGGGTGCCCAGCTATTAAAAGATAATAGTGTCTGGAGTCTTAAAGGCTTGGAGATAAACAAGCAGCCATCTAGCTGAGAAGCAAC